CGGATCCTATATAGGGATGACCGGTGCGCTCACAGCACTCACTGGCTGAGCGCGGTGCAGCGTTCTCAAAAAGGACAAGTTTATGCCTAATTAACCTTATTTTCTTCCTTTTTAAGCACCACCCTTGAACAAGCTGAAGCTGGTGTACTCGAACCTTGAGGATGCCCCTGAAGAGATCCGGCTGGAATTCATAAAGTACTTAAAAGGCATAATCAGCTCAGTGTCTGAGAGCAGAGACAGGGAAGAGATGTCAATTATTACCTAATTCATCTGCGACTGCCACACCCCAAACGAAACAACTTCTTTCCTGGTACAGATCTGAAATCTCATCCAGCTACTGATGTTTTCTTCTGCCAGTGGCTATAAAAGAAATTTTCCTTATCTGCTAGAGGGAGTTGACCCATACCATCTACTGTCTGTCCTTAGTTCAACTGAGAAAATTCTGTCATTGAATTCTGATTCCTTGGCCCCAGACCTTTCCAAAGAGCTGGAAAATTGAGGTTTTGTTTTCCCCCCTTCACATATGTCAAGTTACAAAAATTGTGGTATTGTAACTGTCACAGTCCAATGATACAACAGTAGTTTAATCCATGTGTATTGGTTTGAATGTAACTTTCATTCCTTGACTTACTCAACAAATCCTGACTGGTTGAGCATCTACTATGTGTGAGGCACTGAATGAAACAGACAAAAATCCTTATCCTCATGGAGCTTCCATTCTTTTGTTTCTGAATAATAGTAGAGTCAAAAACTTAAAACTACATCTTGAATATGCAAGAAAAACTGTAGATCCTTCATTTTCTATAACTGATTTAAATCTCACGTGTTCCCACCCCCAGGATAATGAGGGACCTGGGGTACTTTCAATGCCAAATGAAGGTATAGTGGATCCTCATTTCTGGATTTTGTATTCGGGAATTCATCTACTTGCTAAAAATTTATTTGTAACCCCAAATCAATACTTGTGGCATTTTCTTGGTTATTTGCAGACATACACAGAGTAGCAAAAAAGCTTGAATCACCAGATACGCACGTTTCCAGCTGAGGACTAACAAGGGACACTCTGCCTTCCTGTGTCAGCTCTCATACTG